TCTTCGCTGCTGCTGCTGCTGCTGCTGCTGCTGCGAATCTGGGCTCTTTTAGCTGCTCCCAGCAACGCCTACAGCCACAGCCAGTCCATTTAATGGCCCAAGGGCCCCTCTTTAGGGGCCCCAGGCTTTGGGGGGCCCCCGGGGCCCCTATTGGGGCCCCTAGGGGCCCCCAAAGCCCTTATTGGGGCCTCCAGGGGGTCCCCAGTGCCCCCTAGGTGCCTGGGGGCCTCGGGGGCCCCCAGGGCTCTTATTGGGGCCTTCAGGGGCCCCCCAGGATCCTTTTTGTGGCCTTTGAGGGGCCCCCAGTGCCATTTTTGGGGCCTTTAAGGGGCCTCAAGCCCCCAAGCTGCCCGCAGCATGTGCCCTCTGGTACCCTTTGGGGGCCCCCCGGGGGGCCCCCTGACACAGCCATTGCAAAGAATATAGGCACTTCACCTTGGGGGCCCCCAAGGGGCCTCCAAGGGGCCCCCATGGGGCCCCCAAGGGGCCCCCAAGGTGCAAAGGGCCCTTGGGGGCCCTTTGAAGGCCCCTTCAGGGCTTTTAGGGGTCTCTTACGGGGTCTCTGGGGGGCCTCTGTTGGGGCCCCCTGGGCCCCCAGGAGACCCGCAGGGGGCCCCCTGGGGGCCCCCTCCGGGTTGTAGGGGCCCCCCTGGGGGCCCCCTGGGGGGCCCCTGGGGCCCCCCCATGACTTGGTGTGAAGAGTTGCTAAGCTGCCTAATCCAAAAGTTTGGGGCCCCTTAAGTTTAAGAAATATCTCTAGACGTTTCAGCTAGCTAAAGTTTTATTAGTTTAAAGAAAGGAAAAAGCAGCAGCAAGGAGCTGCAGGGCTAGGGCCCACCGCGCCGCAGCAAATTCAGAGACGCCAAAGAGAAGAGTCTCTTGCAGCACAAAAGGGGGCTGTGCTGCTGCTGCTGCTGCTGCTGCTGCCGGTTTTGCTGCTGCTGGTGTTGCTGCTGCTGCTTGTGTTGCTGCTGCTGGTGTTGCTGCCGGTCTCGCTGCT